ATAGCCATACCATGTTGAAAAGCTGGTTCTCATATGATCACCGATGTTAAGCAACGTTGAGCCTGCTCAGTACCTAGATGGGTGACCAATTGGATGTGCAGGTGATGCAATGGATAACGACTTGAAATCGGAGAGCAGAATTTTAATTTCAGTCGGGTTTGTTATAGTCACTTATGCACAGATACCATTGGGAAGGGTATGGATCTATCTCTTCTCCCCCCAGCTATGGGTTAATTAGAATCTAAAAAATAAGTTATTAAAATCTATAAATATTTTCTTTAAATAACCTGCAAAAACGTAAAAAATCAAAGCAATAAATCAATATTCACCATGCAATTAAGTTCTTTAAAAAAAGGATCTTATATTGTAAAATAATACTTCTTTATCATATTGCTATGGAATTATTAATTTACCTATACATAATATATCCGCAATTGAACGAAGCAAAATTTTAGATTCAAGTTAAGATTTATGAACCATCTCATAAGTAACTTTCTTAACGTCTTGCTAAAATGAAGCGCGGACTATCGCTGTGTGTGAGACGTTTCTAATGGTAATATTAGTTGTTTCCTTATAAGGAAACATTCGGCATTCATTAAATGAGCAGCAAATGCTACTAGAATAACACTTTTCTTTGCTCACTGGTCTCCGGGTTGGGATCAAATTGTATTTTCTGTTCACCTCTCCATTAGTAATGGTAATATTGACAAAACAACAGCCAGTGCTATTGTTGATTGAAATTTATAAAATCTTTCTGTTAAAAGAGTTTTGCAAGAAAATAAGCTTCTCAAGTTCACTAACTGTTATTGTTCTTTCCAGTACTGATGGGACCTTACTCCCCCACCCTTTTGATTGATGTAGTGTAAAACATCAACATTTTCATTATATCATTATTTTCTTTTTCGAATCACATGTGCTATGCATTTTAGTTGTTGTTGAAAGTCCTCAAGTAATGTAGTTTCTGTCATTTGGCACAGTTCCTCGTGAGTCTTTAGCGCCACTATACAAATTTCGAGGAAGGTTGGTCCTTGCCAAAACCTACAGGCTTCATTCATTCAGAGACATTTTTAACAATTGATGTGAGAAAGCGGTTGTATATTGCTGACAGTTTAGATATTTCTGAACAAGGTTAGCGTCATGTATAACATAAATGTGAAGATCTCTATCTATTAACGAACAAGACTCGAATTTTTAGGTTATTGTTGGTTTTGTAGCAATTTGCTGTGTTCGGGTTGGGGGACAGACTTTTCTATGTTCAAAGTCCTTTCCTTCTACACTAAATATGTTATAACAGATCTATACACCAACGTATTTGAAGTATTCAGTATTTACTAATTCCACATCCTGAATTTTTATGATTGACTCAGGGTTGTTTGCCATCCCTGCTTTTATTCTAACTTTAGATCATACTTTCTGTTTTAGAAAGTGTTTTATCTTGAGATCTATTTCCCTACTCCTTGAAGGTTTTCATTTTAAAGACTGAATTTGTGGTTTCAGCTCTCTCCATATTAAAGTCGGACTCTCGAGAAAAAGAAAATCCTTAGAGGCATTGACATAAAGCTGTCAATTATAGGACTAAATACAAATTGTAGTTATAAGCTTATTATTTTCTCTATTTAAACAACTGTTTTGTTCACGCTTCTCTCTCACTATATAATAGGATTAGCGAGCTGCCAGTTTGAGTATGCTCTCTTCGCTAACCCATGTTAAAGGCACCTGCTCAGGCACATTATTTGTTTCTTCAACACCCACAGGGGCCACTATGCGATTTATATTTCCACTATGCTTAACAGACCTTAGATTCTGCGATAATGTATAATTTGACGTGATCAATATTTGAACAAGGTTGATACGCACAAACTGTCACAATGACTTGTGGCTTTGTTCTGTCACAGCTATTGACAGCTTTTGAATATTTCCGTCTACCAAATTTCACTTACAAGGCCGGTGATATGGTTTTTTTCAGGCATTTCCCAATGATGCAGCAGGCTGGGATCTTCTTTCCGGACCGACATCAAGAAGTCATCTCCTTGGCAAATCGACCATGGTGAGATTCGAACCTGGTCTCATGTTCGGAACGCTAACTTTCTAACTACTAGCCTCCGCTCACTTATGCGTTCCGTTATAAGTATATTTGATTTTCTTTTGTTAAGGTTTCGGCATAGTGTATTGAATAGCTATCAGTGCGCAAACTGAGCGTGTCTACGTAATAGTTCTCGTGCGCAGTAATTGAAACAAATTTAGACAAGAAAGATCAATGCCGCGTTTAGCTTTCCGCAGCGAATGTATGCAAACAACGCGAGTAATGGCTGCCGCCAACGTCGCGATTGAATCCCAAATTTCACTGTCGATAACTCCAAAATGGTAGATTTTATCAAATTTATCAAGCCAGATTCGAATGGAGCATGTACAATTACACATAAATGTAAGTATTTTGGAAATTTTTAATGCGAATTGAGTGCGGGTATTACACTGCAAATTAACCAAATTAATTTCGTTCTGTTTTTGGTCATTCTTGTGATGTCCACAACTTTGTTAATAAATCAAAGACTATAGTCTCGGAGATGTAGTAGCACCATCATATGTGATTATTAGTGTTCTTTGGAATTTCTTGATGAATTTTTTAGCTCTGTGGTCCGCCTTTGCACTTGCTTTCAGTAAACAGTTTTGTTATTCTTTATGGTCCTACGGAGTTTACTTACCGTCGTAGAATAACGATAAAAGGTAATAAAAGAAATACTAATCATAACAATTAATCATACAAGCTCTTGAGTTACCGTATTTCTACAAGTGTGTTTCGATTGAGTGTTTCACTCAGTGTATCATAAATTCGAGGATTCGCCTTGCATGTTCAGAGCTAAATTAAAAAAAAAAAAAAAAAACCTTTTCTCGATCAATACCACTGAGTGGTTGATCTCTGAATCAGTCTAGTTATAGCTACCATATACTCAAATAGGATGGGAGTTTCAAATAATGGGCGGGGAGGGGGTCACTTAAATCTAAAACTTTTACTAAGCTCGTTGATTCGAGAAGTAAGAATCATTTTCTTGATTTTGCACGCGCATAAACGTTCAAATGTTGGAAAGTTTTAATTTTGAAAATGTTATACTCCCGTTTATTCAAGTGGCAAGAATAATTTTCTTCATTCTGACCCACCAACCCCACTTTGAACGCCATATTTATTCAAGAGGCAGGAGCACGTAACTTTTTTTTTTTTTTTTTTTTTAAATACAAAGTACAAGACATAATATCAGTTATTGTGAACGTTATCCGGCCTTCGGACTCGGATCCAAGTGTAGTTTAACTTCGGTGAGTTCATGGAAAAATTTTGAAGGATACCTAATCCAAGGGATCCCAACTTTGTAGCGGCACCTCTCTCATTATGCTAAAGCGGGGGGATTAGTGGATACCAACGTGACAGTGGTTGTGAGGACTAGACAATCAATTTTTGACCTTGGTCAATATGTACGGGTATACTCAACCTCCAGTCACATCTTACCGTCGTGGGGAAGGTTGATAAATACCATCAAAGTTGTAGTATCTCCTCTTAGTTATTTTGTCGGGGGAAAAGACAGCAATCGACCCTTCTCCCATTTCTGTCTTAATGGTGCCGTCGAGAGAAAGACCGCCGATGTCCCAGGGGAACATAAGTTTTAAAGCTATATAAAAGGAGAGGTGAATCACATCCTACCAACGTGATGGTGTACGTAAATACCATCAGTTCGTATGTGAGTCGTAAATCTGAGCAATCTGACTATCCTTGATAATCCACTTTATTTTTCAGTGGGATGACCCTTGCCGATAACCAACCGCAGTATCTTTGTCCCAACAACTTGATTCCTTTTAGGATTTGCGGAGGCTGATGAATTAAAATCGTATTGATATTTTCCTTTATTTTTGAAGCTAAGTTTCAATTTAAAGAGTTAAAAGTAGGTACCCCACCGCAAAGAAAGCGATACATAAAGTTTAACATGCATTTTAAAAATTAAAAATCTTTCTTTATGGTTTTAGTATTTTAATTCCAAGCTAATAGATTAAATTTAAGATTTCCAATAAGAAAAATACTTTAGTGTATTTCAAACTGAATTTAAATTGGGGTGATTTTTTTTAATCTCTTTAATCAGCCATATTGATAAAACTGTCAACATATTTTTAAAAAATCTTACAAAAATAAAATATGCTTTTCTGAAACTTTATTTGAGGAAGATCAACTGATTTAAAGTTTGATTAATTTGTATTTAAAAAAAAATATTTACTTTCAGTTTAAAATGCCGCAATTTTTTTTTTTTTAACACGGATGTGGATATCTTTGAGGTCTCGACAGATTTATCGATAGCTTAATGTTTGGCATTTTTAAGTAAAGGGTAATTTACTTGACGAATACAATGTAAACACCTTTATATATATATATATATATATATATATATAAACTACCCACTAATCTTAAAAAATTATGAAAATTTTTTAATCTAATATTTTATTGAATTTTAAGTACTTTAACTTTATAGTTTTATTTAGACGCATGTTGAGGAAATATTAGAAAATTATCAATAAATTTTAAATTTACTATAGGTACCACTCTTATTTTCTGATAATGTTGTGTATGGACGCCGTTATTTACGAAAATCGTTATGCTTATACACACAACAAAAAAATCAAAGTTCTTTTTAAAATACTGTGGGTCGCTGAATTGTAAGTTTTTCCATTTATGATTAGTAAATATAGTTTTTACTTAATTTCTAGCGGTTAGGTGATATTGTTACTAATACAGAATAATAAAACTTTATAAATTATTAATATTAATAATTTTTTTTTCTTTTAATGAAAACAATTCTTGTAAAAATATATTATTCGTCATTTTTTTTTTAACGACAATAGTATCCATAATATTTTAAGCAATGAAAAGCTTTTTCTAATTAAATAATGTCAGTTTATTGCATTTTTTATTTTTTGATTCAGAGCAGATTTTCTGTAACTGGGGGTCCTGTTTGACAAGAAAAAAATAAATAAATAATGATTTAATTTCTCCAATGACTTGTCCTTAAGCGCTGCGAAAATGAATTTCTCGAAATTTCAGAAAATTAAATAAGTTGGAAGGGGTAACTGATTT